GGAACTCTCCACCAACCTGAAGGGAACAAGCCACCCTTTTCTGACTGAGAACCATGGCCTCGGATTTGGAGGTGCTGATTCTCATCCCAGCCACTTCACACTTGGCTGCAAACCGCCCCAGTGCACACTGGAGGTCCTGGTTTGATGGGGCCATGTGTCTTTGTGTGGAATAATAAATAGGCTAATGGTGAGATGATATGAAATGAAGTGCCTATATGCACATACAGCAAATGTGGTTTAAATTAAAATAAATGAATGCAGGTCAGTGGCTGTGTGAGTACTCAAATATATCATAATTATACATGATAAACAGCTGCACACCCTGTGAGCTTAATGATTTTGCCCTGTTTAGGGTGAAAAATCAGTGTGTGACCCAGGTATGAATGAGTGCATGTAGGGCAGGGGGTCATGTGGGCCTGTAGATGAGGGTGAAGAGGCACGAGTTCAAGTATGAAGGAGATGGAGTTGATGATGGTGGCAGTGAGGTTATGCACCCCTTGCAGACCCCTTTCATGTACTATGATCCCCTACCACTGACCAGGCAACCTGACGAAACTCCCAGTCCCCGTTGCTATGGCAACAAGTGCCACAGGGAGATAAGCCAGCTCTTATGGGATAATATATTCCCCTTTCCCATCGGCGACAGTGTGTCTGTCTTTTTCTTTTATTTCTTGCCATCAGCCCACCGGCCTCTATGTCCCGTCACCATCTTTATAAGTGTATATCAGTGCTTTACTGGTGAGGTGGCTGCTTAATAAAAACCCTGCACGGAACAAATGATGTAATTGTGCACGTGGGCAGAAGTGTGTTTACAGTCTAACAGGGTCATTGGCACCGTCTTTGAGAGCCGCAGCCTTTGTTTTAATATGTCTCTAAACAAAAATGTACTAACTGCCACGTTAGAGGTGAAAGGCTCCAGTGGAAATCATGCCGCTACCTGAAGTGTGTGAAAAGGGTTTCAGTTTCTAGTTAGCTAATTTTATTTGATCCTCTGTAGCCTAGGCGTAATACATGGTCTCCCAAGTTAAATGCTTGAGTTCTTACAGTACATCTTGGCAGAATTTAGATGATAAAACTGCTAATGTGAACTCAGAGGAGCTATCCATCCCTTGACTGCAAAGGTAACTCACAATATAATGACATAATTGCTAACTGTGATAATGAAGAGACTATTGGAGTGTGTAACCTATTAAGAAAACTCACAGAAACAATTAACAGCCATTATGTGCGATGACTCATTTAGAGAAAATGCATGCAGTTATAATTTGAACAGAGTCAGCCCAGTCAATAACAACTCGAGGCTTTGCGTTTTGGTACATAACATAATGATTGCATAGCCAGTGTTGCTTTGTATGAACGGTCATGCAGCATGCAACAGTTTGTGTTACTTTGCAAAGGTGAGGCACACTTTTAAAAGGTGACGTGCATTTCCAAAGTGTGACAGAAAATAAATGTTGTAGTCTACAGTAGCTGCTTTTAGCCTTAAAGCTGTTATACTGTAGCCCCTTTGCTTCAAATAGCATTGCTTTAAATTAGTTCCAAGTATTTCCAAAACATGCTACAGAGCTTTAGATCATGTATTTCAAGACATCATTTGTTTTCTTTTCATTTAGGAACATTGAAGTTAGCATGATTTGAGTGATCATCGTGCAGAAGATTAATCAGAGTGAGCACTGTGTCTGCTGATTTTTCACATCAAGCTGCACTTAAAAATGTTTTATAACAAAGGAATAACGACTCTGATGAGAACAAAAGCAGACAATGTTCACTTACTTGTTCTATCCCAACAGAAACAGATCCTGTAAAGTAAGGCTTGAGCATTTTGAGTAGTATTTATTCAGACTGTGTAGTGCTGCCACTAGGCTCCGTCATATAATATGTTATGTTTAGTTTCAGGATACAGACACTTGAGTGTGGTGTTATGACCACAACTGGGATTCAGCTCCACTAGTCTTGAGGTAGGATTTTACAAAGTTGGGACAGTATATAAAATCAAAATTAAAACTGAAAATAGTGATGTGTAAACATCACTATTGGCAACACATTTTTTGATGTGATACATCAATTTTAGTATTTGTATTACAGGACACAGATGATTTACAAATCACTATTTTCAGTTTTAATTTTGATTGTACATACTGTCCCAAATTCTTCTGATTCGGGGTTGTACATGCAGCCTGACAAAAGTTGCAAAAATGTTCCAAACAAATTCCCTCAAAAGCATATCTCGCAATTTTCACATGACAACAACTGGGAAGATGCTGGCCAAAGGGAAGAGAGGAAGAAAAGGGTAGGAGTGAGAGACAAAAGGGAGAGGTGATAAATACAGGACAGCAGTGACAGCAAAATGACAGATTCACCTCAAGGGAAGCGAAACAAAATTGCTATTTTTTTCTGTCCGCAGACAGACAAAGCAGAAGGGCAGTGGCCTTCTGCTAAAAAAAAAAATTCTTTTATACAATCAAAATGTCACGGTTTCATGATGACCTGGACTTGACAGCATAAAAGGATACAATTCAGCATGCTGCATAAAGCTGTGAGGCACTTGACAGTAGTAATATTACTGCACCACATGATAACAAAGGTAAAGAGATAATTTAAAACAATCCAGTCGATTTCTTGAAAATACCTGCTCAAGTTATGTAATTCAAGGATATAGACTTCAAATCCATGAAAAAGAGAGATAAATCATTAACATGGCAGCAACATAAGTCAGAAAACAGCAGAAGTGAAAAATGCTGGTCGCAATTTTTCACAGCAGTTCAAGATGCAAAGGATAGAATTTATAACAACACAGAGAAACAGCAAATCCCCACTTTGTAGAAGTTATAGGTAGCTTACTACCACATATCACTCAGTCCTAGGGGCTCTAAATGATTGTCGGGAATCCTGCCATTGTTTTCAACCAATTGTCTCTTAGAGAGTGAGGTCACTGCCAGTCACTAACATAATCAGTGAGACTGATTATCCATCTTAATCATAGTGGGAAAAAAAAAAAAAAAAGCCATCTCAGACGTCAATGAAGAAGCTCAGCTGCTCTCTCAGTCAGGATCATACTGAATGCTATGGCATATGACTTTACAATACTTTGAATAATAAATCATTTTTAGACGTACCAGGCCACTTGGACCATTTAAATAAAGATCCAGGCCAGGTGGAGCCAGACTGCATGTGAAAAGGAATTCTATTTTGCAGCAGGTACACAGCGTGCACATTTCTGTCTTTTAAGTGTCTGTCACTCACTCTCTCTCTCACACACACACACACACACACACACACACACACACACACATAGAAGTTTGTATAGTGCAATCAGTTTTGACAAGTATTTATTTTCATGTTAATCAATGTCCAACACAGAGTGGCCATATTTACACTGGCACGCCCTCTCCTTCACGCTCCCATGCACATTAGAAAATTAGGTTTGAGCTTTTTAAAGGAGTGTGGATCTGCAGGTATCTGGAAAAACAAGCATGGCTAAGATGATAGTTATATTAAATTGACTGGAAACTAAATGACTGGGGATTAAAAACAGAGCTTTTGCTAATGTTTTCTAATACCTTTTCAGAAAATCAGAGTGACTTGTGCTGGTCAGAGCTACAGGTTTAATTTGTGAACTATAGTATAATTGCGGTCATCCTGGATCCTGCTCAATGGGATGGGGATAATATAAAAAATGTTTTTGTTGTTTGTCAGCGTATTAAGCAACCCATCACTAGAATTACAAGAATGTACACATAAACATATTGTAT